TTTTCTCTTTTGTGTTTGTTTATATCGTTTGGCTTAAGTATAATATCCGACGTATATACCGTCAATATAGCATAATAATTTTTTTTTTTATTTATCAGTTTGAATTAACAGAGATTTACAGTATAATATTCTTCTCATTTCGATATTATCAGCCCCTCGTTCACTATTTCGTTCCCTAAACTAGATATAAGGTATAACATGTGAGAGGGGGGAGGGATAGAAAGTTGGACGTAGCCTGTATAGACCGTACTGTATTTATTGTTATGATATTTGTCTCTCCTCCTCCAATCACTCCCTTCCGGCTCTGATTTTGTTCTTCAGTAGTTTTTTCTCTTTTGGTGTGATTATATCTTTTCGCTAAAGTATAATGTCAGACGTATACCATCAGGAATATGTTATAATAATTAATCTCAAGGAAGGGATGATGCCGGGATACAAGCAAATGGCGGAATAGACAACATTATGGAAGATGAAGATGGACATAGACGGAGAGAGGGAGAGAGGGGGGGGGGGGGGGAGAGTGGGTTGGCGGGAGATAGAAAGTTGGACGTAGTCTGTACTGTATGTATTATTATGATATTTTTCTCTTAATCCTTGTCTGAATTCAGTTTTCCCTCACCGCGCTGACGTTTCATTAAATTATTAGAGAATGGTTTTCGACTCTTAATCCTTGTCTGAATTAAGTCCCCCCCCCCCTTCCGCATGAAGCGCGGAAGCTTTGACGTTTCATTAAATTATTAGAGAAAGAACAAAAAAGACGATTCGTTGTACCGACTCTTCATCATTGTTTGAATTATCAAAAATGTTTCTTTGTTATTATTATTGTTTCAGCGTTATCCTCCGCGCGCTTTATAATAATGAAGGACAAAAGCGCCGCGACATAGTAATAAGGTATGTATTTGGAAGAATAACTGCTTTTTATTTGTGCACAGATTAAAAGAAAAGTGACATCTATACACAAAATATACACAAATTATTATACAGGTTAAGGTTGGAACCTACTAGTGCTTTCGAATACTTGAAAAGATGAGCAGATGTTCATGTTGGTCACGCATGGTCGTCCCTTACAATATTCATTAAACAAAATCACGCACTTATATAATATATATAATGAATTGAGAGTAAAATTAGATAACGTTTCGTTCATTTGGGTTTACCGCCGAAAGCTTTTATTTCGATCTATTTGCTTCATAATAAACTTATATAAGTCATATCAATTATAGCTCACTTTTAATTTAATGTAGAGACATTCTCTTCTATTTCTATTTTTAAACTTTTACAACTATCTCATGACGACACGTTCTAGTATGGGTCTTGTAAGTAGTAAACACAAACTATATGGGATTAAAAAGGGATCTGAAAATGCTCTAATTTGCTTGCGTGTACAAATTATACTTGAGAAAAGCTAAGAAAGCCAATCTATTAAATCCTTATTATCTCTATAGCCTGTGGATACTCCCTTAAGTTCCGTCACTAAGCCAGCCAGAACGATTTATTTATTTATTTATTTAAAATGGTTTATTTCATTAAAAAACATTCGCGGCCCGAGAGCCGAATCAGTTTCTTTTACAAAGTATACATCAGTGACAAAGTAAAATTACACATAAAAATTATGCATGGTAGCATAATGGTAGTAAAATTGCAATTCTTTTGTACATAATTTTGCTTCAACGACCTTGGCAAATTGCTTGGTACACTCTGAAAACTGAAATGTTAAATCACCATTTAAAAGGGCCGAGGAGTGACCACTCTTTCAAAATGGTAGATTAACACTTTGAACATGCTGGATCCAACACTATAAAGGTCGAATCTAGCAGGTTAAAAGAAACAATCTGACATTTTAAAAGAGTGGTCACTCCTCGGCCCTTTTAAATTTACATTTAACATTTCAGTTTTTAGAGTGTACATATACAGAAATCTGAATTGTATTTATATTTGCAAGTAAATTATATACTGAACTTATACAATTATGAATAGTGATACATTTTTGATATTCAAAAGAATTAAATGTTTTAGTTGGAAATGCATAGCCAGATGGGTATGGTTACTATGGTATGGTTATGGTGTTTTCTTCAATAACAGAAACAAAGACAACAACAGAAACCAAATCCAGGAATTATAAAATCAAATACATGCTACAATGGTTTAAACAAATTATACATTGTAGGCAAAATGCAGAACATTTTGTATTTGGGCCAATTTACTAAAAGGTACATGTTGAATATGATATTGCATAAAATTAAGATAAGTTTCGCATAAAAAACATGGGTAAAAGTTTGCCATTGTAATATTAGATATAGTGTACATCATCTTGGGAATTGTTAAATGTAAAACAGGATTTTATACAATCAAATCTGATTTAGTTTTAAAAAAACTAAAATTCTATATTCTAACCCTAGTAACATTATTAAAAAATGCATTCACATGTCACCCTTTTATTTAAGAACTTATACCAGAGAAAGAGAGAGAGAGAGAGAGAGAGAGAAAGAAGGAGAGTGAGAATAGGGAGAGAAAGGGGGTGGGAGAGAGATAGGGAGAGATAGAGGGAGAGAGAGAGAGGAGAGAGAGATAGAGAGAGAAGAGAGAGAGAGAGAGAGAGAGGGGGGGGGACAAAGAGTGAGAGTAACAAGACAGTGAGCTAGCCAGAAAGCCATGAAGAGGGTCTCCCCACTCCGCAGCACAGCACTGACAGAGAGGAGACAATAATATTGAGAGAGTGATCGATGTAGTACGTAAGCTGGTGGAAACTTAGATGCAAATATCCTCGAAAATATGCGTTACAATGGAAAACTCGAGGAAAATTTTCAATATTTAGTAATATCATAGAACTGAGATGCCAAGAACTAAAAATGGCTTGACTTTGAACTTGTAAAAGACATCAAATTAAAACAACAAATTAGGGGGCGAGCTGACCAAAAAACTGGGGGCGAGCTGACCAAGAATCCCAAAATCGGCAAACAAAATCGGGAGGCGACATGACCAATTGAGGGCGACTTTGTAAGGGGGCGGGCTGACATTAGGCGAGCTGACATGGAACCGTCTGATCGCGCACCCAATGTTGTGTGCTAAAACCCTTCCCATAGAGATTGTACGCTTCCCTATGTGGTCTACGTGCATTGCGCGACCATCCAAAATTGGTCAATGATTTTATGAAAAAAATTGAAATTCAAACCTTTATAACAAATGATCCTGAAGGTGAAACTCAATAAATGAGGTGTCATATGAAAGAGCAGGTTTTTCTCCATATTCCCCATCGGGGGCCACCCCCAGAATTCTAAAAATATCTTGGTCAAAACAGCGATTGAAATGTTGTTTGCATCCTAGCTCCAAAATTTGCCACTTTCCTGAGCTGCCGCCCCGCGGCTTAAGCAGGGCTAGACGTAAGGATAATATCCAGATGCTTTTTTTTTCGCTAGCCCCAAGGGATCATTTGTTATAACAGTTTGAAAATACCCTTCCCACATTTTTGGAATCAGCTAATTAGGGAGGCGTGAGCTCCGCTCAGTCCAAACCATGGTTACATCGCGTAACATGTGCGCTTATAGTGAATGAAAGTATGGATGGCCGTTCCCACCATAAACCCCGGAAGTGAATACACGTTATAGTCAATGGCAATATCGCGGAGACATCTCCGCGATATTGCCATTGACTATAACGTGCATTCACTTCCGGGTTTTTTGTGCGACGAACGCTAACCATACTAGTCAATGGCACATGTCGCGGAGACAGCGTAGCTCAAGTCAAGCTTGCAAGTCTCGCATTGGCTTAGCAGCATGCGTACGATATGCATACGCTTGCATATCGCGCGATACAGCTGTTTGGCTAAATTTAGCAAAACAACATCACTCTGCGTGGACGTCTTTTTCGTCGATTTTGACCAAAATGATATGAATATACCAGCATTTTGGAGGGGCTGTATCTTTTGATTGAAACATCGGTGAAGCTTCAAATTTGAAATGTATCATTCTGATTACACTTTTTATTCAAATATCAAACAAAAATGGTGAAAAACGATCCCAAATTGAAAATTGAAAAATCGTTCAGACACCCTACCATAATGTTTGGAAGTCTTCCGATATCGGCAGTCTGGCTACCACACCATTATTAATAATAGATGTACGAATTCGGAAATGTCGGATTCGGTATTACACGAGTGTAGGCCTAGTCTATGTACACTGTAAGCTGCAGAAGTAAATGATTTTTTATATCTGTAAGTTAATGAGCTGAGTACTCCCGAAAAAACTTTCATTTCTTGAAAATAGATCCGAATGTTGGGTCGTTTTTCAGTGAGTAGCTGGTCCGAAAATAAGGATCGTCCGCTCAAACGAAGATCGTCTTCATAATCTTGGACAGACGAGTCCGCAAAAGTGAGGATCATCAGCATTTTCGCTGACGATTCTGATTTCCGATCCGGGTGTTGGCGATGCAAACAAACTGGTTTCACGATGATTTTCTTTATGTATTTTACATTGACTTTGAACAGAGACTTTCACGTTATGACCGATAAATCCTTGGGACAACCCTTAAAAGTAGACGGTGCGGTGAACTGGGGTTATTTTCTTACGTGGAATCCTTTTTTTCGCATCACCAGTGCATGGTTTGGGAACCCGAAAAGTGAGGATCGTCAGCATTTTCGCTGACGATTCTGATTACCGATCCAGGCGTTGCCGATGCAAACAAACTGGTTTCACGATGATTTTCTTTATGTATTTTACATTGACTTTGTACAGAGACTTTCACGTTATGACCAATAAATCCTTGGGACAACCCTTAAAAGTAGACTGTGTGGTGAACTGGGGTTATTTTCTTACGTGGAATCCATTTTTCGCATCACCAGTGCCTGGTTCGGGAACCCAAAACCTGCTGTTCAGCATGACCTTTTCTTCATTTGAATCTTGAACATGAGTTAGATGTGCATTTGAGATTTGAGATTTTTGTTTCATGTATTCATATGATTGTTTGTTATGTTGTTATAAGCCAATATTGATATTGTCTTACAGTGGATCCAGGCTGAGCCGCCGACCAATAAGAGCATTGCTAGTATGCTTGCCCAGCTTATTCAGTTCCAGGAAGATGCCTTTGGAAAACATATCAGCAACCCTCCTCTAACCAGGGTGCCTGTAAGTAAAATACTCCATTTCCAACTTTAAATGGCAAGAAAAATCAATTAAAATAATAACACATATTAATATTATTCACTCTTGCTGGGAGGGTAGTTTATGTGTGCTTGGTCTCATATTACTATGCTAGGTAATTTAGATTGTAAGCTCAATCTTTTAAACATTTACAGTAACTCTAAAAAAAGCAAGAATTTTAAGTATTAAGAAACATTTTATAGTTGCTTACACAATTTTTGAGATTATGTAGATATAGGTCTACCATAGTACAGTTTTTCTTTAAACAATTCTCAACAGATGAACAGAATTTTCATGACTATGCCAGGATTCTCTATACATAGAATTGAGTAAAAGAAATATTTTATTACAAGTGGAAAGGCCAAAGGGTATGCAATTTCCTACTTCTTATGGACACTTTATTTTGTTGTAGTAGGTGAGCTTTCAAGGGGTACAACAATTTAACAAGCAAGCATTATTCAAATGTTGCTAAAATCTTAAATAAGCAAAAACTTAATGAGCAACCCCCTAGCATAGTAAGAGTTCAGTCATATCTGTTATAACTTCTTGTCACCTTACAGCAAAAAGTCTTTCTGGATTTCAAGTCTGGAGGAGGCCTTTGTAATGTTCTCATGGCTATGTACCGATTCAAAAGTGAACAGGGATGGTAAGTGACCCTTGACCTCTGAATTTTACGAGTTTTTCCTTATTGTGGGAGATAATCTCTTGTTTACATCACCTTTATGGGAGTAAATATTCCTCTTGCAGTGACTGAAACACTATATTTGTCTTTGTTGTATCTCTTTAATTATATTATCAAGTGTCTCAAGAATAGTATGATAATTTCCTTGTATTCACTGTCTTTTCCTTTTTACCATGGATTTTTTCTTCTTCACAAACTGCTGTATGCAAACAAGACAGATGACTTGCCAAGAACATAATTTAAACTTATTTACAATTACATACGCTACTTTTAATCAACGGGTTTAAAAAATAGATATGTCTGTATACTGTGACACAACAAATAAGTGAGTAGAACCTTTGGTCTGGGCATCTACTCTTTTATCCCAACTGCCTTTCAATCAGGGAAATTAAATATGCTGCCGTTTTAATCCCTGTCATACATGTATATGAATGAGTATTTATACTAGTGCTGTAACATCACGGATATCTCCAATTCCGTTTAACCGCCTGTCAAAACCGGACGGTTTTCGGTTAAACGATTTATTTTTTTTTTTTTTTTTTTTTTATTTATTTTTTTTTTTTTTGGCCGTGTGAAAAGGCAGGAAGGTGATTTAACTGAAGGCGCCGATTTGTGCTTGTGAAGTAGTCACAAATAATAGTAACAATGTCTTTTTAGAATAATGTGTAAGATCATTAAAGTAAATTAAAACAGTAGAGGACCTAGGATAGAACCTTGTGGTACACCATGTGTTAAACTGGGATGAATATTGAGATCTATTACAAAGATTACTTTCAAACCAAGATGACAGACAAATTGGAGTGTTGTTCTAGTTTCCAAGTGGTAAGTCATCACACCGATTACTGAGCTGGGAGACATTGCCAGGCATAGTGCCAGGTGGAGGGGCATAAATCGAAACTTTAAAAATTAAAAATTAAAAAATTAAAAAAAAAAAAAAAATTTAAAAAAAAAAAAAAAAAAAATTATAATTTTTTTTTTTTTTTAAAAACGGGAAAACGAAACCGTCCAATTGAAAACGGAATCCGCCATGGGCGGTCGGATACCGGACGGTTAAACGTTTGACTACAGCACTAATTTATACAAATTTTCTAGAGAGCACTAAATTAATAAGTATGAATTTTCATTATCCTGCAATATTTTTCTTACAATCAATGCTTTATATTATAAATATCATTGTTTTCTTTGATTCCTTCTTTGATGTTCAAACCAGGAGGCGCTTTGATTTCCACTCGCCATCACGCATGGACCGCAATGTGGAAATGTTCATGCAGATTTCCAAGACGTTGACGCAGAACAAGTGTTTTGTCCTGCCCCAAGTCTGCATCCACGAGAGTGTGGAGCCAAAGCTTGCCGCTAAGCTCACAGACATTGTCAAGAGACACCAGGTACAATAATATGTCAATGTTTTGTTTGTACATATAAAATACAGAACAAAAGAGGCTTAAAATTGATACCTATTTAAATGATGGTTTTTCAATTCACATGAGTCCACTTGTCATCTTTGTAATTAAAGTGGCTCTATTGTAGCGATGTTAAGGACTTTTAAAACAACAAAATATATAATTTGTATCCCTCTCTCTCTCTCTTTTGCAGGGTACTTTAAAACCTGTACTACATTTTTGCTGGCTTGTCAAATTGCATTACATTTCAAAAACTTAAGAGACTATTAAGAGGTACAATGTAATCAATAGATGGTGTTTAAATTTATTCACCCCCAGGGTGCTACAAGAATTTTTTTCACCACTTGCCCTGTCGGGCAAGTGGGTTTTCAATTTACTTGCCCAAACAATATTTCCACTTGCCCAAAACTTTAAAGCGAAAAAGGACTCGAGGTTAAAGCATTTATTATCTCGTAATGATAAGTTAGTGTTTTAGATAGCAAATTAATGCACATACATGTACAGTGTAACTGTACTGAATAATAACCTAATATGTCAAAGAAAATGGTCAACAAAGGATGGTTGAAGGTTTAAAAAACGCATTTTATTGATTCTCCATAAATAATCAGATTCACATGAATCTCGGCAAGGTAGAATGGTTCAAGCAGGTTTAAGTTTTTAATATTCAGTCATGTAAAAAAGCATAATGACCCTGTTGTAAAAAATATGATACAAACATGTCATTAATGGTAGCCACATGTACCATGGTGCAACATCACATGTGTGTCTGTGCAAGCCGCTGTCATTTGGAAACGTAGGCTAATTTTCAGCTGTTAATAATTTGGGTCAACTCTTCCATCAAGAAACGTCATGTAAATAATGGGTAATCAACTATTTTAAATAAAGTACGGACATTTTTATTTCATCATTCACTGCTATAAATATCATGCCAAAATTTGTAAATTCTTACTAAATAATAATATTGAAGATATTTTACGATAAATCTCGGATAAGTATGCGAAAACTAGACTAAACAACGTCGCTAAAACCATGAAAACAAAACAACAACGGCTTATATTCTGGGGGTCTCGATACTATTATCAAAATGACTCGCTCGGTCGGATCTTGAGACCGCAGTAATAAATTGAAAACGAGACAAAAACATTCATCTGATTTATATGAGCAGCGAGTTTTAAATAATATGTTCACAATCATTAACAGTTATTATGAATAAATATCAAACATTTGACTTTTTGTACTTACTAGAAAATCCCTGTTGTTTATTCCATTCCGATTCGCACGTGTTCATTTCCCTAGAATAATGACGTCATATTTGGCGTGATTCAACCAATCGGCAATCAGAGAATAGCAAAGGCCTGTCGGTGCGGCCTGCAGAGCTAGAGAGAGAGAGCGCGAATAAGCTCGCAGCTGGTACGATCGCGCTAGCTGTCTCTAGCTAGCTCACGGCCGGCCGTGCGTGGAGGCGGAGCGGCATTCATGGCTTGAAGTGTCACTGTTGCATGCGCGCTGAGCTAGCTGAGCTGGCTAGCTGTCTGTGAAGTTTTTTCGAAATCGGAACGATCGCTTTTTTGCTTCTGGATTTTGACGACGGGTAAGAAGTTGACGGGTGAATGGTAGAGTTCTTGGACACTAGGAAATTACTGTAAAAGTATCACTTGCCCGAATCGGGCAAGTGATAATTTGATTTACTTGCCCGACGGCTCAATTTGGTTGCCCCGGGACGTCGGGCAAGCGGGTTTGTCGCGCCCTGACCCCTCTCTTGGATGATTGTTCATTAATTCAAAGTATATGGTTTATTTTGCAGGGAACAGTCACTGAAGATTCAGATGTAGCAACTCACTTAGTGTTTTCTCCTCCAATACCATTGGCAGAAGGTATGGAAATCTTTCAGTGGTGATCTGTTGTAAATATTTAAAGCATACCGGTATGTACTTACATGTACATTACCAAATGTAATTATCAGATGACATTTAAGGAAAGTGGTTTAAGAGGTTCTACTAGTACATCATTCTATAATCTGTAGCATGCTCATTTTGTATGAATAATTTCAAGTGATTATAAGTGTTGATGTTGTGAGGTTTTTTTTTCTTCATCAAATTCACCCATATTCACAGCACTATATAAAATGTGTAAAAGCAGTGCATGAAGAGACATAATTGCCCAAATTCGTAAATAAGATTCAATTTAAGGTGTCTTCTAAGTCATGATTCAAACCTTTATTATGGACTAAAATAAGCATGTAAGCTTTACAAGCAGAGTCTTGCACACCTAATGGGCATAATGACACATGCATACTACTCTTATGGAGGTTTAAACCATGAATTATTAAAGATGAAATTCTTTTGTGAATTCAGGATTCTGAATCTTTGCAGGGATTTGACAATCCACTTGTTTTCTTTCAGGTGAGGAGTACTTGAGACCCATTGCACGTAAAGAGCGCTCCACTCTGGTCCACTGGTGGTACTACCCAGACAGCTATGATACCTGGGTCCCTTCTTCAGACGTTCATGGAGACCCTGAACACCTTGCCACTATGGATGGCCCCTGGGAGGTAAGTCTCATCAAGTGTTTGGGTGAACTTAGGTTGGTAAGATTCATAAGGTTGAGATTGTGGTGACCAATGGGACGTCCCTTTACCCAAGTCAAATGGAGACCCTGAACTGAACACCTTGGGAACATGATTGGCCCCCGTGAAGTGGGTCTAAAGACTTTTTAAAACGTATATGTAATAGTAATCAGAAGTTGCAGTCAAATTTTAGAGGCCTTGCGTATTCAACCAAATAGCCATTGGTGAAACCGTTAGATACAAGATGTCAGTGATACATTGCTGATCTGACAACTATTTTCAATTATTTAGTAACAGAAATTTGTATTTCTTTATGGTTCTATGACACATGGTCCTACAAAAATAGAAAAATAGTCAATATGGATTTGGTCAAACTGGATTCCCTGACTGCAACCCTAGACCAAACATCATCCCTGACCCTGTCTCTTGGGAAGAAATAGAGGCCAGAGTAAATGTTGGCAGCAAATTCTGTATCAACTTCTTGTTAACCTGCACATCCTTTTCTTTGTTTTGACTCCAGGTGAACGCCAAATGGATCTTAGATCTTGATGAGTTCAATGAATGGATGAATGAAGAAGACTACGAGATGCAATTGGACGTAAGTGCTTCATCTCCTCATAACGAGCTTTGTCTGTATTCAGCACTATCATCATTTTAATGAACTACTTATCATCCATATTTTTATGTGCAATTCAATCAATTTCAACTTATCAATGCAATTTGTTTCTTGGATTTCTCAACGGGTGTATTTTATAGATTTTGATTATTATTTTTTTTTAAATACATTTGTAAATTCCTTTATTTTGTGTTTACAGGGAGAGGACAGAGTTGCCATCACCCCAGCCATTGGACGCACTCGTCGACGAGCATACCCAGCAAAGGCCAATGGAGATGAGGTAAAAAATACTTTCATCTAGGAAGTATATCTGCTGAAAGTTAAAAAGATGTGTATTTGTATACCTGTATCTTGAGTCATGTGACAGTGCCCTTCTGGCTTTCAGCAGATGCTATTTCCTCCCTGACAAGTTTGGACGATTTTCTAAAGAATGTCTTCTATCCTGCTAAATTTACAATTTATTCACATCAAATGCATTGGTGCTTGAGAGGGCGTTCCATTCCCAAAGCATTTGATTTGTAAGCTCGAATCGAGTTTGAAGTTGTATTTACTGTAGCTTTTCTTCTAGAGGCACTGGAACAAATCCCAGAAATTTCATGTGCGTTGAAGTATCTACCTTCTCCTTGCGTAATAATTGTTGAAATAGATCATTTATCTTTTCCATTCATTTTTATCTTGATCTTGAAAAAAGAGAAATTCATACTTTGCTTCTTGATAAAGTTCTTTTTGGTTATCTCCTCCAAATCAAATGTCAATATGTGTCTCTTCGAATATCTTGCACTGTAAGTTAAGGATACCAACATACCAATTTTAAAAATAGTCAGAATAAATAACATCTGTTGCCATCTCCCTTACAGGGGTCTACGGATGGCGATCATGAGAGGGGTATGATGAAGCGAGGGGGCCCTGGTAAGAAAAGAAAGCGATCACCTTCTCCACCACCCGAAAAGAGGAGGAAAAAGCCGTGAGTATCGTTGCCTTTATCAAGATAGATATAGAAAATAAATTTTCAGAAATGATTGTTGTAGTAATTTGTTGATATTTTTGTAATGTGAACTGTGTTGTAATTCATCCTCTTTTCATCCATTTATAAATTCTAAATGCGATTGAGATTAAATAGATTTTTTTTAAATTTGATAAATAACATGGATTATGAAATATGAATTCTTCAATATCATAACAACATTAACAATGACAAAGAGACAAATTGCACTTCATACATGTTCCCAAATGCTGCAGATCTCTATGCTGGCCTACCAGCACCTTCGTTATGATCTGCATTATTGGCTGTAGGTGTCAGAAATGGGGATCTTTAGAATCAGGTCCTCGCTGTAAATCAGTTAAATTCATTGCTGGTCCTTTTCTTTGTCAACTAGTGGCAGGAGCCCAGCGCCTGGAGCCAAGAAACGTGGAGCTAAAGATGAGGAGGAGGATCTGACTAAGGACCTGGAGAATCCTCCCTCTGTCCCATCTCTTCAGGAGGTGGAGCTACCAAAACTTGGTAAATCAATAAGTACTGCAATTGTCTCAAATTATCTGTTTGTTTATTTGTATGGTTTTGTTTTGTGTAGTGTGTGTATGTGTATGTATCTGATTTTATTTTTTTTGTCGGTCATGAAATCTTTAATCGTAAAGAAGTTTTCTCTTAAGGTTTTATTATGAAACCTGAAATTTGCAGGCAACTATTATGAAAAGGTTGTAAACAAACTGTGTTATACTTCAGTTTATGATCAAAAGCCCAAAACTTTGACAATTTTTGGCATTCTTTTTTCTTTTTTCAACAGATTATTTTCTGATCATTTTCATTGATCAGCGATCAGAATTTTTTATCCAATTTCACCTGATCGGCCAACAATCTGCCCCTGATCCGATTATCGGTTACAGGGTTAGATGACACTAGGTCATGACACGATACTAAACATAAAACTGTAGAATTAATTCTGGCTTTAAAACTATTGCATAAAATGTCAAGGAAGTAAACTGAAACCATGTAACTGAGAAAAGAACAAAATATGAGAACACGTAATGAGAACAAGTAGTAGCACGCTGACAAGAATGACTAAAATCGTATAGGCTGACCGGTATATAGAAGTTAGGAAAACATGCTAAAGGAAGTGAATAGATACATAGGCTTAGTGGGCTTCAGGTGAGTAAGGACACTACGAGAACAAAGTAACACATTATAGAACCAGTACTTCATATTTTATATTATACACAAAATTATAAAGAAGCTGCGTTGGAACTGTCCAGAAGATGTTCAAATAATAGAAGAAAAAGAATGAAAAAAGACTCCAGAGACATGACATTGATAAAGTCAAAATTAAAGTTACGGCTCAAGAATATCATAGAGAAGTAGACAAATGAATGATTCCAAAACATACCGTAATTATTTCATTAAGCTCTCATAAATTAAACAAAGACTTCAAAAGAAAAAGTTAATCAAAGAAGATATGCCTTTTCAGCCTGTGTTGCCAGGTCTGAAATTTAGAGAGTTCAAAGTCAACGCCCAAGTCCCTAGATAGTTCGTCCCACAGTCTAGAAAATATGTTCATAGCGGAATCACTTAAAACGTTTTGTACGATATCTTCGTGTCTTCTTTCTATTACTCTGATTTTCCAAGAAATATCACTGCTCTCGACAATGTTGTAGAGAGCTTTTGCAACAAAGTTAATGAGTAAACATTTCCTACGGGATTCTAGCGAGACCCAATTAATGAGTCTTAAGACGCTCGGGATAGGGCTTCTGCTACCTACCCTGTTTCAGGATGATACGAGTGGTTCTTCTTTGAATACTTTCAAGTTTCTGAAACCCGCCTCTTAATTTCATACCGAGGTCCTTCAGAGCCAGTTTGTAGGCAGAGAGAGAGAGAGACAGAGAAAGCCAAGCACTAGACTTACTCACAGCCTCGTCATTTTTTTAACATTTTTTTTTTGTAATTTTTTTTGTAGTTCCAGGCAGCAGGATTGGTAAAGATAATGAAACGCAACCTGTAAAGAGTGGAACTATGACGGATCTAGACGAAAGCAAAGAAGAACCAATGGACACCAATAAGGTAAAAACCAACATGGTTATCACTACTGTAATTTGTGTCTTATGTTTATTGAAAATAATAACAACAACAACAATATGCCAATATTCTTGTAAAGCATGTACCAGACTAACCCATATAATTATTCTATGCACTTTCAAAGGATTTTAGATATCATTACCCCAGCTTTAGCTCCGGCAACCATAACGCTCAGTGCAATCAAGGAATAAACCCTACCAGATACCCACTTAGTACACCTTCGTCAAGTAGCAAATGTAGATTTAATGACTTGCGAAAGAATGTCAGGGATTTGAACCTTGTTCCTTGTGGTTCACAGTCCAGAGACTTATCCACTAAACCACAATACCTGTGCAGATATGCATTTTAGAAGCATTTTGTGCCGAGCAAATGGAATAGGAATTTATAGTTAAATGTGTAAAACAATCATGATATCAATGTTCATGTTTTTTTACTTCCATGAAAGAGTTTAAAAAGCTCTGAAAGACATTTTTGAAAATTGTTCCTTCTAGCAGGCTGATGAATCTGTAAACACTTCACTTTCCAACGGAGAAGAGAAAGACCGCAACGGTGCACCAGACATCCATGAAGACAATGTAACAGAACAGACGCATCACATCGTTGTACCCAGCTACTCTGCATGGTTTGACTACAACAGGTAAGAAACCAAGAGTTTGGAATCTTTGCCAAGTTTATTAAGTTTGCTAAAAGAAATTCTACGCATTGAGCATCTTAGGTATCTGTAATTGCCTTCCCGTAAGGTAAAAGAAAAGTGATTTTACCTTATATCTGCTGTCACAGTATTGAAAAGTAGTCTTTAAATATAATTGTCCATATTGTATGTTCACTTTAAATAACAATAAGACATATTTTAGTAATTGACTTAAAATGTAAACAAGCATCAGTTATTAACATCATCTGTCATATAGGCTAGTTGTATTTTTTTACACTTCCTATTAAACAGGCTAGTGCAAACATATCTGTGTATACAACTGATTTTATTCAATCATTTACAAGCATTTTCATATTCTGAAAACTGCTTTTGAATCATTTTGTTAACATTCTTTATCTTTTATTCCCAGCATCCATGCTATTGAGAGAAGAGCACTACCCGAATTCTTCAACATCAAGAACAAATCAAAAACACCGGAAGTGTGAGTATTAGTTTGAAGAATGAATGTATATTACATCAACTCAACTCTGCAAGTATTTTTTGTTACTAAACACAAATTTATTGTGCATGGAATAACATAACTGCCAAATTTGAGTGTTCATAAAGTGTTTTGAAATACCGTCTGTTCTGTGCGTCGCTGGTTTGATACAATAACAACAAAAAACATGTAAATATTTTTGTTAACATTTTGAGAAAAAATATAGGATGGGATTTTGTATTAAAGAAGATCAATCAGGGATCAAATGTAAGCGCCATGATTACTGACATGCCATCTTAAACTTGTTATTTGAATGTAGAATCAAGATTTGACACAGAACTGAGCTATTTGATACTGATATTCATTCCTATTCCTACTGTGTAACACCGTGATTTGTGCTCACTCATCAGATTCATGGCATATCGTAACTTCATGATCGACACCTATCGGCTGAACCCCACAGAGTACCTGACGTTCACAGCATGTAGAAGGAACCTGGCTGGTGATGTGTGTGCCATCATGAGGTAAGAACAACAGGGGGGTGTTTCACAAAACTTGTCATCAACGACAAGTTACAAGCTACTGTTATAAGCTACAGAAATCCTTGCTTCTGATTGGTTATCAACAGATTTGCCACTGATTTTTGTCATTTGTCATTGAAATAGGGCTTTGTGAAACGGGTCCCAGATTTGGAAAGAAGGGACGGAAGAGGAGAGATCAGTTTTGTAATGGAAAGGATATGGGTGTTGTGATGGAATAGGGATAGAAAGAAGAGGTGGAAGGGAAATACAAAGCTTTTCCATGGAAGGAATAAAGAGGTGGTGGAATAGGTATGGGGAAAATGGTGGGAGGCGAGATGGAAGGAATAGAAAATGTTGTGGTCTTGTAGATAAATAACTGGACTCTGGTTCAAGTCCAAGTCACGACCCTAAAAAAGCAAATGAAGATTTGTTAGTATCATTCTAATTGTCACCACTTTCCTCTCGAAATCAGAAGAAAATCTTCTTTTTTTTCATTATCAAAGTTGTAAAGACTGCTCATTTTTACAAGATGAATACAATTTATATATAAAACATTGCAGTAGATAAAATTTATTTTGGGTCCGATTGTCATTTTATTGTAAATTGACAAAAATTAACTCTGAATATACCGCTGCTGAATGCTCCATAACATCTTTTAACCAACGTCTGTACAGCATGAGAAACACAGAGAATCACGAACCAGTCTATTTATAATACATGGTTGTTTTGTTTCGTACAGGGTGCATGCATTCCTTGAGCAGTGGGGCGTGATCAACTACCAGGTAGATGCAGACAACAAGGCCACGCCCATGGGACCTCCCCCTACCTCTCACTTCCATGTTCTGGCCGACACCCCGTCAGGGCTCCAGCCTGTTCAGGCCAGCAAGTCTGGCAGTGGAGCAAAGGTAGGAACTGTGTGTACTGTCATAATATGTGAACATTTATTTTAAACACTCTTCTTAATCACTCTTCCTTTAAAGCTTATCTGTACTAGTTTTGGGGAGAGATCAAACCACCCTGCAAGGTCACCAGACAGGTGGTTATCTCATCAACTCGGCTCTCAATTAACATAAGAAAAAGAGGATCATGGGGGACCAATGGTCACCGATTAGGCATTTTTTCTATATAGAGGGAGCAAGTAGTAAAGTGTGGCTTTAAATAGGCATATAATTCTTTACATGTGCCTTTAGTGTGGTGGATAAGGTTCAACGTCAGATGCAGAGAAAAATGTATAATAAGTTTGCATTTCATGGTCATGTAGTATTATGTATATTCCTGTAAGAAAAATCCCAACCTTCACGATCAGTATTAGCCCAAACATATGGTGTATACAGTGTGTGCCAGACATGCAATACTGTTTTAATACCAAAAATTGTGGTGTTAAATGTGTACAAAAATAAATGGCACCACACAAATGCTGTGGATGATTCTCATATATACATAAATCATCCTTAAACTTTACTGTATCTGTTTCTGAGGTAAATGTGAATTAATATGATTATTTATCATTTATGACTACAGAATTCCAACTCAACACAGATGATGAACATGACGGACAAGGATGGTGCCAAGGATACCAAGAGTACAGACCTGACTAACTTTGGTCTTAGACCAGACATGTATGCCACCAAGAAATCTCAAATATCTAAGGTGTGTAACATTGTATTTGAAGTATAAAATTCATCATGTTCTTTGTAAGAATAGTAGTTTGAATCTATAAGGGGAGATTTCATTTTGATGTCAGGGTTTGGGATGAGGTTGTGTAATATCTTGGTCAAGTGCAAAGGTTAGTGATTTGATGTAATTAATGTATTAGGAGAACATGTGAGATGATAGGACAAGGGTAAGACATGATTCACATATATATATAGAGTGAAAAAAAAACACTTAAACGTTTTGGCGCAAAGTTTACTACTGTTGTAGAAGCAAGTAAACGTCATTGTAAGCATCGCAATCATTTCAACTAAAATCTAATGTGATACACAGCTTTGATCTTCTCCTTCTTCCATATAAGGTGTATCCTTCATCATTAAAGATTAATGCACTGCAGAGTGGTGTTTGTGCTGTCATTCTAGAGCATAGACATACTTTAGGGAAAAGTTAATTTACTAACTGATCTTTATGTGAAAATTACAGTCAAACCTGCTTTAGTGACCTCCTGTTTACAAAGGCCACATTTGTTGTTTCCATGGAAATGGTTTCTCATTGAATCATGTACTAAAGGAACCTGTCTACACAGGCCATATTTTGTGTTTCCCTTGGGCGGTCGCTATAGACAGGTTTGACTGTATATTTACACATCCATTGTATCATTTTGATTTTGTTGTGATAACCAACCAGGCTAAGGGGACATCGTCCAGTAACATCAAGGAATGGACGGACCAGGAGACCCTGCTGTTGCTCGAGGCCCTTGAGATGTACAAGGATGATTGGAACAAGGTCTCTGAACACGTCGGTAGCAGGACCCAGGATGAGTGTATCCTCCAGTTCCTGAGACTCCCTATCGAGGATCCCTACCTCCATGATGGTCCATCCGCCCTTGGTAAGTAAACCTAGTCTTAAATACTTGTATTAAGTGGTACGATTTGAGGGTCATGAGGTCAGAGATCAAAGGGTCATACATGTATATGAAAAATAGCTTGTAATCACAATATTTTGAAAACCTGTTAATGGATTACAATCAAACTTGAATTTCAAAAATTGCTTCTGTTTTGGTTTGTAAAATCGCTCTATGGCGATGGCGTCATTTTCGACTGCACGCAGTTGAAGATCCATCTAGTTATTACTCATATTCATTTTGTCAAGCATTATTAACCAAGTGGATCTACTTTACTCTGCAGGTCCTCTTGCCTACCAGCCCATCCCATTCAGCCAGTCAGGGAATCCGTTGATGAGCACTGTGGCGTTCCTTGCTTCAGCTGTAGACCCTAGAGTGGCGAGTGCTGCAGCCAAGGCAGCCATTGGTGAGTGTTGTTGGAATTATTTTCCGTCTCTATAGATTTTGATCTTCATTCTGGGTTCAGTCTGCAAGTGTAATGTGATGAAACACTCAAAATGTTTTACAGAAAAGTGTGTGTATTGGAATTATAATTGCATGTTGAAAGGTGGAACAGGATACCTTGGGTTTTAAAGAATAATATGGATAATTTCTTATGATTTCAAGATTGTCTGTTCTTTATATTTCTCTCTTGATGGTTGTAAATGAGACATTTTGTTTCATTTAAACCTCTTTAAAATTGTATTGACCAACAATAGGCATTTATGGTTATCAGTATCACTGCATAATCAGGGGCCTCTTACATCTTAAAAAAAATCATTCTGGATCTCTTATTCATAATAGGCATTCATGTTGGGGGGAGTATATTTGATACATGTAATCATGAGATGAAGAAGAAAAAAAAAACAGAAAAAAATGAGTAATCATGAAATCTATTCTACCCCCCTCCACAGAGGAGTTTGCCAAGATGAAGGATGAGGTACCCACCACCCTGGTAGATGTCCACATCCGCAGGGTGGAGGATGCGGCGGAGAAGGGTCTCCTGGATGGCAAGTACCTCCTGGGAGTGAGCGGTATCGCAGGGACCAACGAGCAGCAGGAGAGGGAGAACAAGGACCAGGAGCAGCAACAGCAGCAGCAGAAGACAGGAGAGGGTGGAGACAAGGAGTTTGTCGCCATGGCTACGGAAGGAGAGAAGGAGGAGGAGGACAACAAAGATCAGGTAAGATGGAGGATTGATGATAATGATGATGTTTTTGAGTTGAAGAGTTTTGAGTTTGTAGGATGTTGTTTTGTTATATTGATTGTTAATTTGTGGAGCCATAAGGCCTATAAAAAAAAAATGTTGTATTGCCCTTTGCAACCGACCCCAAAATCTTAAAGGTAAAGACGAGTATTGGAAACGCCCCAATTTCAAAAAATGAAAGGGAAGCTCTCGTTACCAATCATGTGAAAGAATATGTTTTGACTAATACATGATGATAACAAATTTGCCGGGAAACCGCCTACTAATTCATATATTTGGTAAATTTGTTTCTCTCATGGTCTGTGAGAGATATAGGGTAGTCCCATATACATCTTTCTGTGTATAGTGCTTGTAACTTTACGAAGAATGGGCCAAATTTCTTATCATTTTGATGATTCCAGAACCTTGCAGATGCTAGATGCTAGATGATCAACCTTTTCTGATCGATTCCACAACGTTTCTTGCACAATGCAATCGCATGACCATAACTGGTCTTTACCTTTAAAAATCTATGGTCGGCTTTAAAAAAAAAATAAAAAATAAAAAGTTTTTTAGAGAAAAAAATGTAAAGCATTCAAAACTGAGAAATATCAGCCCAAAGAGGGAGAACAAAAAGAAGAAAGAAAAAAAATTGAAAAAAATTTTTTCTGATCGACCGACCGACCCATGTTTTGGTACCTAAAGGACAACATCTTTATTTTGTAGGCTTAACCTGTATGTGTTGTGATCAGTGTTAAATTACAATAGCAAAGTGTGTAAAACTTTAGTGTTTGTGGTGTGTTTTAAAAGTTAAATTGCATGGGACTTTGCCATGCATACCGGTAATACAAATACATGTAATGCATGCATCAAAAACAGGTACTTTATATTTTGAAACTGTTTTACAATGGTGACTGAAGCTTGAAATCAAAGGGAAAACTTGTGCCTGTGATGTAGTAGAAAGACGTAATTGCAATGTTTCTGAAAATTACCATTGAACATTATTTTCATATTAATGCTACATGTAGGTGGTTTGGTTGCCATAGTTCTTACACATGTAATTCAAACAGTTAACTATACATTAGGGAGGTTTTTTTTGTTGTAATTATTACTTTTTATTCTTTATACAATACAAGTGTTTTAATGTAATAAATAATACAGGTATGACTGTATTGCCATCTTCATAGCAAGCAAGAAACCTCAAGTCCATGTATTAAAAGAATCACTACACATTATGTAAATCCTTCTTTCAGAATACAATATCGTTTAACTAAATCCATACGTTGTTTCACCAGACCTGTTCACTCGTTTTACATGTGCACATCTTTCATAACCCCAGTACCACTACATTAAGGGCAATGCTGCCCTCTGGATCATACAGGATAGGCAAAATTGTGCTTGTGATATTTGAAAAGGCTATATATAGTTTAAAAGTCATCTTGTTTGAATATTTGACCTATTTTGTGATGGCAGAATGAAGTGGACTGCGCTTTGCAAAATTGCTTAAAGGTAAAAACAAAGTTTTGGTATGGGGTCATGAATTTGGTTCAAATGAACGTATTGGAGGCATATGCGATCCTGCAATGTTCAGTGATCGTTGTCGTGGTTGAAATCGAGTCTAAAGTTATGAAATTATAAATAATAAACTCTTTTTGTTGTACAGCTCCCTCTCAAGGTCAAGATATTAATTAAGCTACAAAACAATGTTTCTTGACTATAATCGACCGATTAGCTATTCCCATTTGGAAATTATATATCACAACTACATATTCTGAGATTTTCATGGTCCCAGCTACCATTGTACGGCCGTAGGCGTTATTTGAAATTCATCACCAGTAATTTTTTTGATATTCAATATTTCTCGAAAGCAGAAGTGTTTTAAGGGCTAAATTTTCTAGTGCTTATAATACATCCACAGGGGCATCCAAATATATCAAAAATGCAAAGAATCACTATCCACCCAATTTTCAAAATTTCCCAAAACTTTGTATTAAGGTACCTACCATTATAAAGGAAAAGCAATCCCAAATTATGCACGAAAAAAGCTATGCACTCTGTTCTCCTAATGAGATAAATGATTAGCGCCACCTGTTGAGCTGAAGTAACTTAATAATGATTCGGGTTAATGATAAAGGCAGTAGCTATGGATATCTTTTTTAGGATATTATTCCATAATTTTAGGTAACATACATGTTTTGAGTGCTGCAAATTACATACCTTTTTGAGTATATGCTAAATTAATACCAATCAGCAACTAGTTACAATATCATATTTGATGTGTATCCATGTGAAATCTTTTGAGTATTTGTCATGAAATTAAGATTATTTACTGTTGTTAAGAAATCAATTATGAAGTATTGCCTAACATTATTATGGGTATGCACTCTGTAAGATCAACCAACTGCTTGATGTATTGAGGATCTTTCACAGTTGAATCCAAAGATCTAATAATTGCAATTAATATTTGTTTCACAAAACCCCAGGGTGTGTATAACTTTGAAAATGGTATTGTGATTTGTTTCATTATTTCTCACAATTCCACCCCCCCCCAAAAAAAAAAAAATAAATAAATAAATATATATATATATATATATAAAAAAACATGATGCCACATTATTGCAGATTTTTAAGACATGATGCAAATTTGTGAGCAATAATTGTTTTTTCTAGTTCTATTGATCTATTTTCTATTTTTATATTCTATTATAGGAAATAACATACAAAGCACTATGAATATAAACATTATATTGGTGTATACACTGGAGATCAAAATGAGATTTGAAATAAGAATTATGACAAAGCTGTGAATGATTTTATTCAAAACTGTTTTTAACCCCCTTTGTCATTTAATTAAAGAGCAAAAAGCAACTACAAGGATATTATTGTTCCATTCTGTAATTTCTTCTAGTTTCGTTGAAGAAAAGTAATATTGAAGAAGAAAAAATATTGCCTCTCATTCATCCAAAAATCGTCATCGACTTTAAAGATGTATTTTTTCTGATGAGTACCATGCACTGCCACAACTGATTTATATGACGTTTTACAGGTGCATAGTGTATTCCTGAAAATACTGAAAATCCTGAAAACACTTGTTGTTGCACCGCATGTGGTGTTGAGTCAACAAAGACCTGTTGTTCTGGAGTTTCCTTATTGAATTATTGGAACAGAGTGCGTTACTGTTATGACGACGGACGTCTTCATGCCTGGCATATGGGCTCGAGTGAGTCATTCTCCGCCAGAAGTGCTCGATCTTAAAGGTGTTTGGCAATATTTAATAAGATGGAACTTGGTCTTTGTACTTTGAGGTCAGTCGTTGAGGGTGGAATTGACCTTACGCTATTGCCCTATACTTAGCTGAAGGACAAAAACTAGTCACTTACATTTATTCTTCTCAAATGATCTCAAACCAATTTTGTTCTGATATTAATGATATTGATACAAAAAGTTTTTTTGCAATCATTTCAAATTTTCGCAAGACTTTTTGCAACGTATTTTATTAGCAAAGAGTGCAAATTTGAACCAAATGAATATTTGTTTGACTATATGGGAACTCTATATTTAAATGAAAATTAGATTTTTGTATAGTTAGGCAAAAACGAAATACCTAACCAACTGCTTTAAAAGTTTCTTTATAATCGACATGTTGTTCTAGGTGGGTTTTTTGTGGGAGGGGAGGGGGGAGGGTTCAGGCATGTAAGTTCCTTATTGGAATGTATAAAATTATTCCTGTGTTGTTGTCATTGGAATTCCAACTATTATTTTGGTGTGGTACTGTAATTCAGTAAATGCAGAGGAATTAATGTTTAGGGAAGGCGAGATATTGTAACCAAAATGTTTGTCATGGTATCCTTTTCTCCTTTTATTTATTTATTTTTTTTATTTTTTTATTTTTTTTTGGGGGGGGGGGTGTTAGTTACTAACTAAGTACTCATGTAATGACCTGATTTTTTATAATTATATGAACTCACTCTTCAAAAATAGATTGTCTTGTTCTCACTTGACCCAAGATTGAAAGCTGTTCAGAACAGTCCTTTCCTTTCCGATTTGACATCCTTGGCAAAATTAGTGCCTAATTTAGCCTTCCCTTGTACATGTATATTGACAGGTGTTGTATTGTTTTGGATCTATTCCATTTCATTCCATTGAGGATTGTGTCATGTTTCATAATGAGATGTGGCAAGGACAAGGAATAAATCAATAAAAGACTTGACTGATCAATCATGAATAGCATGTTTGAAAGAAGAAAGAAAAAAATACATCTGACGTTTGACATCAACTTTTACTTCTCTATTAGGCATTAGCAAACTTATTTTGTTTGTCATTGGTTTATATTGACTCTAAATCTGTTAAGGGTTGAAATTCTAGACTGCTGCATTGTTTTTTAAGTATATTGTGTAATGTGTATACATGATTTAGTAGATTGCAGCAATCAACTGTTTGTTTCCTTCTACATGTAGTCAACCAAGTGGTCTTTTCATATCGGTCCTCTGCATTTTTAAAGAAAAATCCCATTATTTGCTTTTGTTTGATTACCGGTAATAAAAACTGCTATATTTGGCCCCAATGTGCATGTAGTTATCTTTTGCACAGAGATGTAGATGGAAGATGTTAATTTTAGCATTTATATGATTTCTTAATTTATAAAGTCTAAATGAGTTGTGTCTATACTGCATAGTGCATACAAAACAATTCAAATAGAAAGAAAGATGAAAAGTTATTTTGTTATCAGGAGACATCTAGATTAAACCATTGATTTTTCGTTAAATTTTAGATTGAATTTCAGTCATCAACCATTCTTGATTGTCCCTTAACTCTCATTACCCCTACTATTTATTTCCATTGATCACAAATTTGCTTGATTTGTATCATGAGCATGAAATTATAACAATTAAAGCTAAATTAACAGGAGAGATACTGATCAAGATACTCCATCAAAATCAACACCTGTCTCTTGAGCGGACCTTCGATTATTTCTAAACGCAATTTGTTAGGACATCCACTTAAAATAAACTGGCTTATTAGCTGTTCAAGAGAAGAAAGGAGTGACCTTTCACCATTTGGATTTAATTAGGTCATCAATCAAGAATTAATTTGATAACTTATCCTACCACTTAGAAATATATCAAAAGGGGTGTTTTTTTCTTTCTTTGGGGGTAGGATATCAGACACTGTCTTGCACAGATGTGAGCACAGATGTTGTATAATGCTTTGAAATTGTATTTCTTTATTATTTGTACTTATTTATTTTTCCTGTTTTTTTTTTCTTCATCATCTTCTGTCTTACCTTTTTTTCTTTAGACAGTTTCCCTTCATACATTCATTTATTATTAGGTTAATGGTTTCTTACCCCCCCCCCTTTCATTATTCATTGTAATAGCATCTCATTCTCATGTACATTGTATAAATTGGTCTGAACGTAATAAACACAGGAAACAATTTACTCTCAGAATGCTCAAAATCTAAAAAATTTTTTTATAGAAGACATCATTAATCTGAGATAATCTCGGTTTGCAGAAGAAAAATCTATAAAATCTATGAGATAGCTCATGTGAACGAAAGTATATTTTGGCTTAGGTACTTGTAGTTGTAACAAGGTTGTAGATAAAATCATAATCATGTACGGTACATTGTATTTGTAATTTATTGTACACAGTATTTTACAATTCTGTGTTTATTCCCTGTAGCCTACTGTGCGTGATTTTGTTACAAATTATAACAAAAAAGGGAGAAAAAAACCTGAACATCCGTTTTTCAATTTGATTCGATTTGAGATCAATAATGATTTAAAGCCCATCTAGACTTGCCTCCAGTTCCATGAGTAGACATGTAATTGATGATATGGGCCAACCTAATATGCAGTGTTCATGACCTCTAGCAATTATCCATTAACTTCATATTGAATACTTCCTACATTTGAGCCATTTAAGTCAATTTAAGCCATTTAAGTCAATTTAAGAAATAATATGCATGAAATTAAAACACAATAGTTAGTGGTTCTGAAATTAATATAATGATCTTCAATAATTTGTATGATCTGACTAAACTAAATATTTTCTTACTTTATGAAAGCAAATTTGATTCTGTTGTTATAACTTTGTGTATTGAAGCCATATTGGTACACCTTATGGTCAACAGCAAGTAATGTCAACGGTTCAGTCCCTGTAGATCAATTACACTTGTCCACAATTCTAAGCATACCTACATGTATTGTATACTGTGCATTGTACTACTAGGGCTTTGAGTTGAGCAAAGTAAAGGATTAGTCATATTGGGTCTTTTTAACTCTTTCTCATTTTCACTAGAAGCAAGTCTAGGTATTTGTACAGTGTGAAATGGATACCTTTACATAAATGTACCTTGAGGCACTTCATTTCATTTCATGAACAAATTTCTGCAGATAACCTCATTGTACGAGGAAGTCTCCTAGAGTCCTATCATATTTTTCCCTTTTTCATCATCTTTTGTTGTTGATAAAGGATAGGTTTGTGTGTTATTCATTTCAGTATATTGTAGTATACTGTATCTCAATTTAATCTTTATTTGTGGTATTAATTCCCTCGACCCCCGGTCTCATGGTTTCTTGCTAACGATGTAAATATATGTGCAATGTTTTGTGAGTTTATGATCCAACTCTTTCAATCATACCTTCAACATTTAGCAAATTCTGAATTAATAACTCATATAAGAGATAAATGTCTACTTGGGCATCTAATGCTTGATGTATTTCTTAGACATAACATTGTGTCTGCCTTAGGGGAAACAGGCAACCCATTGCATACACATTTAAGGATAAGCCAGGAAGGGTGTTTCAAGTACAACATTCTGTGTTATCTCGTTTCCTTCCCATTTTCCTCTCATCGAAAGCTTTATCCCTTCCCCAAATATTTCCATCACTTCTGAATTTCCAGGGAAGGTACTGGATTACTTGGAAAATGCTGATATGAAACACTTTATCCTGTTCATACAAATGTATCTAGGCCGACATTCTTTTTTAACTCTGAAATAATGTTGATGTCTGTATTACTCCATGTTCATGTTTCTTGAGCAGTGGGTTATTGTATTACACATCATTTAAGCCACGTCTTAATAGTTTTTTTGAAATACCGGTACATCAGCTTCCACAAATTTTTCATCCTAGCATGAAATTCCCCTCGAGATTTACAAGAATTCTTAATTTTAAATGTTGCTCCTTCGTCCATAAAAGATTTCCCATTTATTTCCACAATATGCTTCTTTAGATATTAATTGAATTGAATTAGATTAATTGAATATTCTTGATATACATTTGTATACAGTTGTATATCACGATGATTACATTGGTGCTTTTAATATGGTTGTTATTTTATTAATTTCTTGTCTACTTTTGTAGTGTGCTGTGAGGTTCTCTATTGTAGCACTAAAACATGTACTGGTTGTGTAATAACGAAGCTGGACAATTTCTTCACATCAAATGAAGTGGGATTTGAATTAAATTCGGATGATCATCAACTTTCAACTTCTGTATTATTTTCACAGGTGCCCATTGTGAAAGAAGAGAACAAATCACCAGCCAAGCCACCCTCCCAGGATGAGGCTCCGTCATCAACAGAGGGCGCTACAAAGGAAAGCGAGGAGCAACCGCAAGCCATGGACACCAGCGATAGCTCCGCAGCGCCACCACCACCACAATCAGAGCAACAAGAGCAACAAGAGCAACAACCCGAGCAACCACCAAAGGATCAGTCTCCACCACCAGTCCTGGAGATCAAGAAAGAATCTGGAGAGACAGAAGGAACAACCGAAGGAACGACAGAAGGAGGAGAGGAGAGAGAGAAGAAGGATGGAGAGAGTGCTGAAGGAACGGCAGAAGGAACAGCAGAAAAGATGGATGCAGGCGGTGATGCTAGTGAAAAGAAAGAAGGTAAATTGTGTTCATGTTGAATCATGGTATTAACTATTGTTGAGGTGTAGCTCTGGATTTGACTTGTCATGAGACAATATTTAGAGACATAATTTGATGACTAAGCCAAAAAAAAATAATGTACAGGTCATAATTAGTATGACAACTCAGCTATTTTTTGTGTAACTTTATATTTCAAATCGATCATCATACACGTAATCGAGTGCATAAAATGTAAAATCTCTCCTTATTTTCATTTAATTCTAGGTAAAATGTAAGTTCTTTCATTACCGTCGTGAATGTAATTATCCATGCCATTTACTGCAGTTGACTGGTCTGTGAATTGATATTCAAGGACTTGATTATAAGAGTGCTCTAATTTGTTTGTTTGTTCTGTTGTTTTCAGGAGAGGAGACAAAGGAAGAGGAACCTAAGGAGAAACCAGACAAAGTTAAGAAGTTTGAAGAGGCAATAGACAGTGGAAACCTTGCTACCGCTGCTGCTTCTGCACTGGCTGCTGCTGCAGTCAAAGCCAAAGTAAGAAACAAAGAGAAAGAGAGAGAGAGAGAGGAGAGACCAACAAAGTGAGAGAGAGGGGGAATGGGGGAGGGAAAAGGGGAGGGAGACTGAAGAAGTTTGAAGAGACTGCTGCAGTCAAAGCTAAAGTAAGAAACAAAGAGAGAGAGAGGAGAGACAAAAAAAAGATTTTGAGAGAGATGGGGAAGGAGGGAGGGAGTGGGAGGAAGAGGGGAAGAAGTTTGAGGAGACGATAGACTCTGGCAACCTTGCTACTGCGGCTGCTGCTGCAGTCAAAGCCAAAGTAAGAAACAGAGAGAGACAAAGGCAAGAGACAAAGAGAAAAAGGAGAGAGGAAAAGGTTTTTTAGAGAGGGGGAATGGGGGTAGGAGGGAGGGAGAGGGAAGAAGTTTGAAGAGACTGCTATAGTCAAAGCTAAAGTAAGAAAGAAAGAGAAAGAGAGAGGAGAGACAAAACAAAAGTGTTTGAGAGAGAGAGCTGGGGGTGGGGGAGGGAGAGGGGAAGAAATTTGAAGAGACAATATACTCTGGCAACTTTGCTTCTGCGACTCCATCAGCACTGTATGCTTTTGCAGTCAAAGCTAAGATAAGAATCAGAGAGTGAAGTAGAGAGAGAGACCACAAAAAAAAAAAGATCAATTTCATTTTGACAGGTGTATTAAAAAAGTGGCAAGTTGAAGGACCCATAGATGAAGTGACATAAATATGGTCTCTCTATATTATGGTTGATGGGTACAAAAATTAGTCAGATGATTTCTTCTTTTGAGCAATGGAATACCATTCTTACCTCTTCACATACCTCGCCCGCCTGATGCACCTGTGCTTGCCAACCACCAAGTGGAACATAAAGATTCATACACGTAGATAATCCCTGAGCAAATACAGACCTTGACTAGGATAAAAGAATACCTGCTACTTCTCACTGAGGTGCATGCATGCAAGGTCTGGTGAATTCAGTTCCACTTGATCAGTAGTAAAAGAAAATGACAAAAGTAACAGTTATACACTCAAAAATAAAACTTTCCAACCATGTAATCCAGACATATTTTCCCATCGTTGTTTGATTTAGAATTGGGGCAGGAATTTGACTGCATGAGTTGAAAACTTATGGAAAGTAACCAGTAAGTCCTACCTATCGCCACCCCACCCATCACCACCCCACCCTTATGGAAAAAATGACTAAGCAGATTTTTGTTGATTTTTTACTTTTTTATAATCTCAGGGGGCTCCATATCCAATTTTTCTTTGAAATTTTTAAGGGGCTACTTTTTTCCATCTTTGGGCTACTGTTTCATTAATTCAGAAAAGGATACAATGTGTTGAGTTTATTTAGTAGGCTTACTGGCTTTATATATATATCTTTGATTATTAAGGTTTTAGGCTTCATGCATATTTACCAACTAATTACCCATTCAACAACAAAAAAATTAGTTAAATAAATAAGTTTCAAAGCATTGATTCGATGAGAGATATACTGTTTTTAAACAACCGTCTAATTTTCTCATGAAAACTTCACTTTCCAGAATGATTATCAAAATTCAATATACATGGCCACTTGGCCAGAATAATCACAATCTAAGCTTTGATTTCATACCTCTATTCACGAAACTATACTGAAATCGCAGCAATAATGATTTTAAAAAATAGCAACTTCAAAGTTTTGTGAGGCGGCTGGACGTAAATTTGTATATCTCTGCTGCTACACTAGCTTTGCTGGAGTCGATTCCACGCAGAGTCAAATCTCTTCGGCTCTTTCATTTCTTACAGTGTCACTGCTAGCGCTGTCCGTGGTCTCCGGGCAGCGTGCAACTAAACTGTCACAATTATTTTGGGGTCAAAAGTCAAATGTCACAGAGGTCAGTTTCTGAAATTACAGGTTGTAGCCTTGCTTTTGCAGTTTCTCACGAACCGCAAGAGATAGGCTTTTTTTGTTCATCGTGATATATCACAAATAATTCCGTCCATTTCCTATGCTGAATTTAGGATGGAGGCATATAGGAGACGCAGTCAAATTTGTCTTGTTTACTTTACTCCCAGTTCCAAAAGGCTGTTAAAACCAGATCCCAACTTCCAAAAGCAGTAACATTAAATTTAATGTTAAATATGACCTACACTTTCACATGGGTGGTAGAACCAGCAACATCATTAACCTTAGCCTGTACCTAATGAAAATCAAGGGACCACGTTTACACAGCATTTCATAGAATTCAGACAGTTGTCATTGACGTTCATAGCATTTAGCTCATGTCCAGGGATATGATTTTGTTTATGTAGGCAAAAGGGGAAGGCTAATTATCAAAATATGATGAGTTCATCATTTCCAAAAGAAGATTATGCTCGAGCGAACGATAGAAATGTCATGAAAGATATTAATGGTACATATTCTCATGTGCGCATTCTTTAACCTTTTGAAAGGAACCAATTCAAATATTGATTTAAGCAGACAATGATACAGATGCTACGATGAGATTCATTTGTCAAACATGGACAAAAAAACCAGGGTTGTTACATAAAAATTATATTTCTTATTCTCTCTTTCTCCTCTCTTTCTCTCTCTCTCTTTCTCTCTCTCAAATGTTCCAAGAGATCATATTATTATGAGGTGATGTAAATTTCAACTCCCTTTGTAATAGGTGTTGAATAAAAAGAAAAGGAGAAAGAAAAAAAATTCTTATCTATCTGTCAGATCAACAGTAGATGTATGGATTATATTTTATTTTCACCTTTTTTCTGCATATGTTGACTTCTATAAATTTACCTGATTATATTCACTACAAGTCGATGGAAAAATGAGTCTATAATAACACACACTTATTCTATTCCTTCCTCTTGAACATGCCTATTGCACATCTGATTTGGAAGAAAATTATGTCAGGAACATAAGATTTGAAGATATTTCTTTCATTTCACTGTGACTTATTAATACATCAGTGTCAAATTAAATAAAACAGGTATACCAGAATAAATAATTCTGCCTTACTTGAAAAGAAAACAAGGTGTAAAGTTTCTTATCCTTCCCGCTCAATAGAAATCAGCTGAAAATACAACCACATCACATAGACATATCAAAATCACAACAAATGAAATCTTTGGAATTAAGACAACTCCTTTATAAGAGATGTACATTCTTTTACTTCATACTCGTACGTAATTGTTTATTTGAAAATATCTAACTTACCATTGAAAGAATGGTATGTTAGATAAAACCTTTTTAAAAATTCTTATTTTTTCAGAGTGTTATAAATATGATAATCATAATTGCATCGTCTCAGCTTGGGATTTATTTTTATTTGAAGGCAAGCAGATTTCTCAGTTCTAATTAACAGAATAGTATTGGATTTGTTTTCAATCATACCCAACTACACCTTTTTGGAGTAGGGAGAGCTATATGTTTACACAAGACAAATAAATAGGCCAAATTGTCAACCACCAAGTCAATTTATTTTTCCTTTTTTTCTTCTAATCTCCTTGTAGCATCTTGCTGCCATGGAGGAGAGGAAGATCAAGAGCCTGGTCGCCCTCCTGGTGGAGACACAGATGAAGAAGCTGGAGATCAAGCTCCGCCACTTTGAGGAGCTGGAGACAATCATGGACAGGGAGAGAGAAGCTGTGAGTAGTAAATTAGAAAAATAGCACCATAAAATGTGATGGTTGTTTTTCTTTTCTTTTCTCTTTTTCTGCTTCTTCCTATCTTTTTATTTATTTTTAATATCTTGTGTTGTTGCTCTTTTCAGGATTTTTGTTTGAACTGTCCCCACTTCTTCCAATAATCATAGATCTGTCATTTAGATCACTGGCATCTTTTTCTCAATCTGCATCCTTCCTCTCTCTCTTTCTTTCTTGAACTCTCTCTCTTTCTCTCTCTTTCTCTCTCTCTCTCTGTCTGTTGCTTTGTCTCTATCTGTTTCTCTCCGTTTTTCTCTGTTTTCTATCTTACCCTATTTTCGTCTCTCACTTTTCAAGTTTTTTTTCTTTCTTTCTCTCTCTCTCTGTTCTTCTTCTTTGTACATCTCTCTTTCTCTGTTTCTGTTTGTATGTCTATCTCTTTTTTTCTTTCTCTCTTCCTTTTCTTTGATCTATCTCTTTGCTACTGTAGATATTAAAGAAAGACATGTAGCTTAATAGTTCATTGGAAGATAATATGAAGCAAAGATCTAGAGAAAAGATAAGGATAATTCAAGTGGTTTGTTGGATTACGACTTGTGTGGGTGTTTGAAAGAACTTTGTCACAGTGATATTTGACATTCCATGGGTAGTTGGTTTTCTCTAATGTTAATATCCTCATCAAAAGGAGCAGTGGTATTTAAAGCACCTGTCTTTTGTTAGGAGTATTGGGTTCAACACTTTTCACACTTTATATAGATAGAATAAAGGAAGGGGTTGGGGAAAATGACAACGACCTGATGTGAACATTGGCTTGTTGAACAATAGCTGTATTTGGTTGATCAACTTCTCACTCACATCAAACATAAATCTTGTGATCCGCTTGCAGAACGTGCAGGTCTTCAAGTTCATGGTTCACAGATCAAAGATCTCTTCCATAACCTTCAAGTTGAATTATGTCATTCAATTTCTTTTAATTTTCTTTCATCATTTTCTGTTGAGGGAGGCGATGTGAGTTCATGCATATACATACTTGTCTATGTCATTGTGCTTAAAATGCCTTCATATGCCTCGAACAAAGATGTCCCTTTCCATGCTCTCAGATTTATTCTTATATTACATTACCTAATTTTTATTCAATATTTTATGTCAGTCTCTTGAATATTTGAGGGGGAAAAAAAATCATTAAAATTTAGATGGAAATATGTTACATAACACTGATGTATTTCTTGAAGATTTCCTATACTTTTTCCAATTGTTGATTTGTCTTCAATTTATTTCAGGTCTTTGGACGGTTGTCTAATTTGATACAAGATAGCATAGTTCATTGAAATGTCAAATCAACCTGATTACCATAGCCTTTGGTAACAAGGAGTTAGAAAGTAAACTTTCTTTGTTTGTTTGTTTTATTTTTATGTTATGTAGTTGGAGTACCAGAGACAGCAGCTCCTAGCCGACCGACAGCAGTTCCATCAGGAGCAGCTTAGAGTGGCCGAGATGAGGGCACGCCAACATGCCCAGGCCATGGCAGCCATGTCTCAAGCACAATCCTCGGGCTTTACTCAGCAACCAGCAACAGCCGCGTCAGCAACGCCCCAGCCTGGTGGCGTGACACAAGTGACCACAGCAACAGCAACCGCAACATCGGTGACATCTGTGGGGGCTGTACCACCTACTCAACCTACTGGTCCACAACCTGTACAGCCAACGTTGCCGCAACAGCAACCACAGACACAGCAACCAGCAGGATCTGGTGACGTGCCGGCAGCAACTACCCAGGATGCATCAGAGGGAGCAGAGCCCCCAAGTGGCCAGGAAAAGGAAAAGGACAACTCTGAACAGCCTCCACAACTAGGTAGGATTGTTTTTTTTATTAAGTTGAATTGAATAGTTATGTAAGATTTTGTCTGGAATTGGACTTACCGGTAGTGGTGAGCTATTATGTGGTAAACCATTAAATATCCCTAAAAAGAGAGTGTAATACTTTGATACTGAAAATCATGCAAATATTACATTAGTCTTCACCTAATCGGGATTGATTGGCAAATGAGCAACTGTTCTTCCACACATTTGACTTTCTTACGAGGTCATCCCTTTTCAGAAATGGAGCATTATTAAGCAATGAATGAAGGTTACGTTATCTATCCCTTTCATATAAGAGAAACAGAAGCACATGTGGTGTAGTTTATGGGAAGAGTTCATCATGAAGCGATGCACTTCACAAAATGATATTAAACATGCTCTTCATGTGTCAATGGATGCTTCACACATATCTAACCAGTCTTCAGGAAAGAGACTGTAGGGAGATTGGCATTTTGATCTGACCTCACTCTTAACCTTTGCCAGATTGAGGATCAATGACCCTGTCATGGATTACCCGTTACCCTCATTGATATCAGCGGGGAGACAAGGGGGGAAGGATAGGGTGGATTATCCCCCATAGGGATTGGAAGGGATTAGCTGATCCGGAGTGGCTGACTTCCTGGTTTGAGATCAATTGGGATCGAGTGGAAGCCAGAATGGTGTTATCTATGAACAACCCTGTCTGTAGAGGCTTGGCAACATGTACTTCTATGTTTTCTTAATAACCCATTCGGATCATGAACCCTGTATAAGGTCAATGCAATGAAAAGTAAAGAAATGCAAAAAAGAGTACCGGGTAAAGAATAATATCCAAATATTGGCTGCTTTCAGGGGCAGGGTTAAGATTATTGCCCAAGAATTTTGATATAAGCTATATGATAAATATAATATTACTGGATTACAGCTCTTTCAATTGGATAAAAGCAGAGTTCATAAACTGTTGTGATGTCTACACAAATATAATGCAAAACCATAATCAGATTTGCAGCTACAACATTTATCAATCTCAATGAGAATTATTATTGACTATGGGCTCAACGTAAATAAACCTGATCAGCATTATAATAGATTTATATTCAAGGAGTATTTACAAAGTATAAATAATTATATATACCTTTATATTTCCAGCTCCTTCCATTGAGACAGCAGCAGCACCTCCGGCGGCACCTGCTACTGAGACCCCTAGCACGCCCCCTTCCCAAGACGCCACCCCACCCACAGGATCAGATGACAAACCGGTGGAGAGTACCACCAGTGGCAGCGGCAAAGAGACAAAGGATGCTGAAGAAGAAGAAGACATGGACACTGGCGGTAAGTAGAACGATGATTTTCTTGTTTAATTATTCAAGTGTAATAGAGTAGTATGCATTTCCAAATGGTCTAAATCATGGATTCTTTTAGGTTCAGACATTTCCAAGTTGATAATTTTCTTTGCACCTGTGTGCCATGTTTTACACTGATCTAGCAATGGATGCCATTTTTTCCTCTTTTTTTTTTTGAAGGCTGGAAGAGTCCTTCATATTGCAGGAGCGTTACTTTGCATGATATTTCTATATAATGAACTTGCTATTGTAGGTAATATGGACATTATTTTAAAAGAGCGTGATAGGCCTGGCCTATGCATGAGTTAGGACCTGGCTATGCTTCAGGATATGAAGAAATAGGCATATTTTTTAAATGATTAAAAATGACTTCCATGTGATGTAACCAACTAGAGGTTGTTGTTCCTTACATCTAAGATGACTGACGTACTGTTGACAGTTTGAAATCTTGTTTTGAGTATTTCCAACCATCACTAATTTCAAAACCCACTTCATGAAATACATTCCCTGACCACATGATGCCTATTTGTAATATGTGATTTCCTGCCCTCCTTCCCACATGTCTCATACAAGCTGCACAAATACATGGCTTTCTTCAATTCCCCTCGGATAAATACTTCTCTGATTTGTTTATTTGTTCAAACGCGAATCAATCAGTAGACAACTTAATCTCGGTAATCACTGAACATACTCGGGCTCATTTTGCTATTTCCTGCACCTCATTCAGCCAGCCGACGCACCTTGGGTTACTGGACGCCCAAAGCCCTCTTAGAGGAACTATTTCATTAAGAGTTCTAAATGATGCTTTCAAATTACCACCCAACAAATGACAATTAATCATCACACTTGTATCACAAGATAAATATCTGTGTTTTGTTCTGCATCTTTTGCGGGCAAAAATAAAGAGAGTTCTAATTGCAGAACAATATTTACTAAACATGCATATCCTGTATGGTTTGACATTTACATAAGTCTACTGAGAAAGGTCTCAGATTTCTTTGGTAGTCTGTATTTTAAAGATCGCTTGTATGGTATTCTTCTCCTCTATGTATGAGATCTGTTTGACATTTTGATTAGAAATTATGCATTGTAAGTCATCATCCTTTTTGGATATTTGAGTATTTTTAGTATACAAATAATACACACCAGTGAGGGCATTAGTAATAATTACCCACACAAGGTACCTTTTGAACAGTCAAGCACCCCCAAGGCAATAGCCAACAGTGTTTGGACTGAATGTGGGTAATTTAACTAATGCCTGAACAAAATGATGTGTATTATTTGTTTTATAAGATTATGTTTTATTTGTTTTATAAAATGACGTTTTATAACATGATTGTATTAATGACCAGTCATTAGTAAAATTATGTGTTAGATAAAATGAATGCCTGGTCACGTGTACACTCTCAACCAATCATTTGATGAGGATCTGCTTCATCATCTTATAAAATAGATTAACCTCACTAAATTGTCATTTATATCAATGTTTATTCTTATTTCACAGAACAAGAACCCAGTAAACCAGATGAAAGTGCCCCCTCTAGTGATAGCAAAGAGACAACCCCACAAGCTGATGAGCCTTCATCCATGGAAACGGATAGCAAGGAAGACCCGCCCACAACCACAGAGGAAAAAGGTCAGTAATGTTTTATTGATTTTGATTTTTTTAAATTTTTTTTTAAATAGAATTATCTCTATGATCTTATTGAAGAGAGTTCATCCATTCATGGTTTTTGTTATTTCTTTTTGCTTATTCTTTAGTCATCTTTGTTGTGTCATGCTAATTTAAATTTTAGTTTTCATTCTCAATGGAAAATTCATGGACAGTTATTATTTAGATGCCGTGAACATGTGTCCAAAATTTGTCTTTTTTTCTTTCAGTGTCACATAATACTAATCAAGATGCCCTCTATTCTAAATAGAATATAATCATGATATTATGGAGATTTATATTGCTATAATGCTATGTGGATATACAACTGTGCATTTCATGATGTAAAGGTTTTTTCTTGTAAAGTGAAGTAACAAAAAACAAAAACAGTTTGGGGCCCTTGGTCACAAGAAAATCTCTACCTCCCACCAAAACAATCTCGAGTGGAGGGAGCTTCTGCATTATGTGATCAAACTGTTCAGCATTGAGGCATGCATTAATGATGATAAAGCCCCTCATAAAGTGTTTGGAGCCCTAAATTTGCAAAAAAAATTGATGGCGAAAATTCACTTAATTTATTTGATAATGTGAAAGAGGCTGCCATTTTAAATTTCACCCCAAAAAATGTGTTTGAAGACATCAAAATTTGACTTCAAATACTGTTTTGAAAATCATTGCAGAAATGCGTCTTAAATGACATCCTCTTTCACATTATGATACAATTTAAGTGAAATTTTGCCATCTAATTTTTTTGGGCTCCAACACCTAAGAGGGGCTTTAACATGATCAGCAAATGTTGTCTTCCAATTATGCTGGGTATTTTGGGTGTGAAAGGAGCTTCAGGAAGGATGTGACAAGGTGTCACATGTTTATGTTATCATAGAAGATATTGAATCAGTTAATGTTGCGACTATTGAGCATGACATGCAAAGATTATGGTTTTTGTTCCCCGCGATGAGTACCGTACTGGTAGTCATTCGTCATGCGGTAAATTGTTTTAAAGATGTAGTGAATACTATTAATAAAGATCACATGAGAACAGGAATTCTTGGCTTGGTATTCATTGATAGTGAATACTAAAATCTGACAGTGATAATACTCTCTATGTGTGCATTTATTAAAATATGATGGAGACCTGTTGCATGTGTCACTTTTAATCATTATAGTGATCATATACTGCCCAATATCAGATCATGTTGTCCAATGAAGAAGTAATCCACTATCTGTCTCCTGTACAATGTCGTTTTGTGTACATTTATAACATTTTATGTGTAAAAGAAAATGGGATGACAAATTTACCTAGCGAGAAATAAGCACCCTAGTTCATAAATTTGAAGCATTAATCTGAATCTAATGGAGTGGTAAATATGGGTGCACTCTGCTTGTTAGGAGCTAATTGATGCAAATTGGCAACTTATTTGCCGAGCCTGTCTACTTCCTGCCTTCAATGACATTTTAAAAAGGTTAATTGAATGAAAATTTCCTTCTCCTGGACTAATACATTATCTCTTTTACATGGAAAAAATTGATGAGCCTATCTCACATTCAACAGAGGGGTGGATGGATGAGGGAGAATACCAGGGATACATCTTCTCGTCCTTTCATCTTAAGAAAGTTCTGATGCTATAGATTATGTTTAATAAGCAGTATAAAAAAAAGTATATAGCGAACCATTTACTACTTTCAAGCAATAACTATATATGATGCTGTAAACTTAACTGGGCAAAACCCCTAAAATCTTCCCATGACATAATGAAATGACAGCAGCATAGTACATTTTCAATCCTGTAATGCATATATAAATGAGTACATTTTGTCGCATTTTCATGTACATGTAGTAACATCTGTTATTTTCATTTAAAATGAGTTTATTTTTCCATGGCAGCTGTTTTTTAGGGGGTTAACCTTGTAATGTATGTATGTTTTTTTTCATCATTAAAATGTTATTTGAAATACAAAGAAAATATAAGATACTTCGATAATGAAGAAGTTAAGAAAGTATTAGAAATGTTAAAATTATCATTTTAAGAAATTATGTTGATCTTGTATATAATTCATATGTTTCATTTTACTTGTTTTGTAAATAATATATATGTATTTTGAAATGGAACAATAAACACTATGAACATGACCGACAAAGAAAGCGTACAAAATATACAGTTTCTCAGGTAGACAAAGGAACATCCCTTCACTGCTATTATGTAAAAAGGTGAATATGCACATGACACCTGTTCTACACATTTTTACATAATAGCAGTGAAGGGATGTTCCTTTGTGTACCTGAGGAACTGTATATTTTGTCCGCTTTCTTTGTCGGTCATGTTCATAGTGAAAGTCCCTCTGAAGAGGTAAAGAGAAGGAAAAAAATGTATGTACATGTATGAGGCTGTTAACTTGATTTAACAAACATGTATCATCTATTATTCATGCTATTGCCTCTCTGCTCTCTTTTTGTACAGCCGAGGCTGAAGTAAAATCACCAAGCAGTGACGGAGGAGAGAAAGAAGAAAAGAAACCAGACCAAACGGAGACCAGCTCGGAAGAGAATCCCTCCACGTAACCATGGCAACCACGTCTCATCCTACCATTCCCTTACAGCCGAAGCAATCATCTCCGCTTCTCTAGATTCTTACCAACAAGAACTTAGCTGTTTATTAGAAGTGTGGTTATTTAAGCTTCACGAAATGATACCGATTATGTTCTGAAGGAAGTTGTATATTACAGTTCAGTGTAATTTGCAGAAAGTTGCAATTATTTATAAATGTCTTTGTAAAGGTGCATCATCATCTCTGATGGACTCTTTTCATGTAAATATTGTACATGTGTAGCTTATCCTTGTAGTGCCTCATCTTGTTCATTTCACCCGAAAGTATGGTAGCTGTAATTAGAAAACTGGGTTTGGAACTTTAGTTGCCTGGTAGTAGTGGCTAATGCGGTAAATGAACAGACATCCAGAAAGATGAACTTTACAATACATTTCTTTCTACTCTGAACACATACCGGTAGTTGGAAAATGCAGCATGATCATTACAGTAACAGAATTTGTAAAATGACATTGGTGCTTTTATAATCTTGGTGATCTCAAGCAGGAGATAAGAATCATGCCCTATTTCAAGTTAATGGGCCACATGAAGATTAGAGCTATTTAGGGATGGATAAATGCTCTTTTTCTTCACCTAATTACTTTACCTCCAAGGCATTTGTTCAGAAATTTTATCATAAAGTCATTACAGACACAAAATGTCTTTCATTCTGAAGTACATCCATTAACGACACTTAACTGTAATTAGTCATAAAATTGATGTCCTATTCATAAGCCCTATTAGCCCACCCATCTTCTCTTCAAAGGAACAGGCCATATCATGGGTGCATGAAAAGAATTTGCTGATGGAAATCGAGGAAGAAGTTGTTAAGCGATTGCGCATTAAGCTTGTATGTATACAGTCCTATTTAATAATGGCCATGTATTGAAATACATTTTCTCTTTCTGTGGGTTCCTTTTATTAAGAAGTATCTAAGTCTTGCCTTGAACGTCAGCCAGCACAGTAGACTGTATTCATGATGGCTGTCCCCAAGTGCAGTGCTGAAATGTGATAAAGGATATAATAACAAAAGCAAGATTCCAACTGTGGGTTTTTTTTTTAAGTGACCCATATTCCTATGACAAAAACTCTTACATGTGGGACTTTTCAGTCGCCTTGTGCTTGAATGAAGCAGTGGTAAATGTGTACATAAAGTATGTCACTGAGATATAATTCTAAATGGACATTGTATGAAGACGAAGAAGAGAAAATCCTTTCTGATACTCTGCTTCATTGTATAGGCTCATCATAATCACTTTGCATTTCATGTATGATGTATGTCATCAGGTATCACAGGTACTATGTCCCCTTTTTCCTCAGATCATGATTATGTTCAATGTTTCTTTTTTTTGTTAGTTTGTTTTTATGTCCTTGTATGTCCTACAAATGAGAGCTGCAATCTGTTTTGTGGACATTTCTTTTTTGTTGTTGTTGTAATTAGATGGATTTTGTTGATATTTCGTTTTGTGTCTATCAGCATCAAGGAATAAAGCCATTTTGTAATAAAGGACTTTGAAAGAATTGCTTGAGTTTTTGTTCTGGTGATCGTAGTTTTGACAAGTTGGTGAGTGATACACGGAGTGAAATGAGTGGAGCCTTGAAGAGGAGTACAACTTGTCTGGGGTGTCTGGGATATGAGAGTAACAAAGAACAAATAAATAAGGAATGGGTGAGTGGATGGATGGATGAAGAAGAAATGGATGGATGGATTGATGAGAAAAATATGGGTAAATGGATGGATTAAGAAGTAGATAATGATGGATGGATGAATAGAATTGGACAGACGGATAGATGAAGTCATGTGTCGATGAAGAAATGGATGGATGAGTTGAATGAATATGTAGGAGAGTAGATAGTTGAAAATACGAATTATTGAATGGATTGATGAATATGGAATCATTTAATGAGTAAATAGATGATATACATTTCAATAGGTGATTAAGAAGGCATAAAATACACCTAATTTTCAAATCAATGGCTCTTTTTTTTTTTTTATACCTTTTAGCATTCTAATTTCATCTGTATATTTTTGCAAGAAGAAACGACTTGGCAGCCAATTAAAATCATGAGAATATCCTGCTACCCAAGAACTATAACCTAAAGAATTTGACAAATAGATTTCGGGATTATCTAGGAGGTTTAGTTATGTTCGTCGAGCTTTAACTCCGTTTGAACTTTTCTGTCTCTCTTTCAAGTGTTTACGTCTCGACCCTCCCAAAAACACTCGACATGGGAAGAAAAAAGAGCTCTGAATTCGAATCGAGTAAATGAAACGTATGCTCGTTATAAAAATGTCGAGAGGCCGCGCGAGAATACCAAACAAATCGGCAAGTGTTCATAAGGAAACATTCTTAAGCTGATAAATACACTATGTGAATTCGATTCCCTCTCTTCTATTCCCTTTTGTGTACAAGACAAACTCGTCCAAACCCCGATCGCGTTTCACAATTTACGTTTGATCTTTTTCCGCCGTCCGACTTCTCACTCATGTTCCCATACCAAGGCAGATGTTGGGTGGGCGGGGAGAAATCCGCGGGAGAATGTCCCGAACAAACAGCACCCTTATTTTTCTTGACTACCGATATTGATCATGTCTATTCTTGTGTTTTTTAATGAGGTGTCTCCTTTAAATCTTCCTTTCAAAATGATTGTGCTCTCTTGGTGGCTGGCCTTTAAGAAGATTTGACGAGTGTTAAATGCCTTGATTGAGCTGCATTCATTATGTGAAGATGTGCGAATGATTCCGATGACAGCTAACCCGAACTAGGGACGTGACTGACGTGGGCTTACTCTCGTAAAGGGATGAGATCAAAAATAGAATTGTGATATTATGAACTTGCTGAAGAATCCACATTTGAGTATCCCTCATGATAGACTGGCCTGTGATTGCGAAAAGATTGAGCAAAATCATATCAAAGATACATTTTTCTAGCATAAAAAGTCATGCACTTTTACTGTGATTTCTCTCAACATACTTTACATTTTCCGGCATTCAGCTGAAGCTTTAAACAAGAACAATACGAACTTCGAACAAAATATATGAAGTTAACCTAGACAGTGATGATTATTTTTCTTTTGTTTTTATTCTTCTGAATTTTTTGTTTCGTGTTTCTTGTTTGGTGGTACAAATATTCTCCTTGCATGTCATTTGCCTATTTTATAGAATGTATTTCTGTCCGCATATCAATATTCTTAATCTCTCGTAGTACCTCGAGTTGCCATTTGTGTGATTTGATATCAACTTTGTTAGGCCCTGGTAAATTCATAGAACATTTTAATATCGACGCAAACGATCCACACATACATGCTACTTCTTCAGGGCATACTACCCATTATCCATCGTATCAATATATCGGCATCGTGATCGTTGAGAATGATCATATCCAACGAGTTCGGTTATAAGAAACAGGTGTAATACCTGCGCTCAGGAAAGCGCTGTCGCATCTTATCAAATTTCCACGCCTCTCAAACCCACTCTTATCCTCTCTCTTTTACCTGAGAGTGTGATTTGCTGTGTCATGGAGGTGTTCTTATGTATCGCTATCGTGTGTTTTCTTTCATTTGTAGTGAGTAAAGGAAACTGAGCTCGGCAGGTGACGTGGAAGGGACGAGATCCACAGGCATGATGGGTGTAAGGGTGCAGGGTGGGTCAAGATGGGATGAGGGGTGCAGTGCATGGGTGCAGGGGTGGGGCAGAAGAAGGTGGTGAGTGGTGCCTGGATGGTATGGAGACAGAAGCGAGTGAATGGTGTAAGAATGGGGCATAATGAAAAGGAAGAGGGGTAGGCTACAGGAATGGGGACAGGGGAGGGGTTTATAGATGGGGAAAGAAGAGGGTGACGGTGGATATGGGGAAAAAAGAGGTTGAGGGTTGCAGGAACGGGGACAGAAAAGGGTGAAGAGTACAAGTGATGGGGGAATACTATGTGAGAATTACTGGAATTCAGGTAGAAGGTGATCAGGGTGCATGCAGGGGTAGGGCGGAAGGTGGTTAGAGGTGGGCAAGAGTGATGTAATTTTTGGAGGGGTCTAGCAGATGAGGGTAACACCTGGGGAGTGCATGGAAGGAAAGGAGGACTTGTGGGGGTGACATAAGAGAGCGAGAGGTGATGGAAGAGTTGGTTGAAAAGGGGGCGTTGGCCAAAGAAGGGGAAGAGCAGACGACGAAACACACAGGAGAAGAAATTATACTGAAACGGGTTGACGAAGGGAAGATAAAATAAAGTGAAGGGGAATTGTCGAAGTAAAAATTAAGGAATTCGAATAATAAAATGTAAATATGATTGTAAGTAGGTCTTACCCTAGATGTTTAACCATTTAAGTTAATATCTTATACTTAAAATATAAAGATAACAAATAAAATAGTACCAACATATTCATAATTTACCATTTACTGGAAAAGTCTTACTGGAATTCGAAATTCTGTCCGACTTTTCAAAAAGGTAATATCGGGTTCAATTTAACACCGAAGGCTGAATTATTAACCCGGAATGCTTTTATCATGATCCATTTCTTCTTGCCCCTGATATCATGCTTCTTTATCATCTCATGCTGACCTTAACCTTTTAAACTTGACATTCTATACAGCTATTCCTTTTGTGAGAAACTAATAGATCGGATCCCCTTTACGGTGGCCCGTCCCTCGTTTATCATACAGATTACGATCACATTCACAGCCCAGAAATCCCTACAATGGCGACGCGATGATTTCCCAGATAACATGTCCCCCTCAAAAACAAATTTCTTTTATAGGCTTTTGATAATCGACGCCTGTTTAGATGTAGCGATTTTGTTTGTCTCTTTGATAGATTCAAGTGGTCTGCTCTCGAAAAGATATGTTTGTCTGAAGTTACGCCTTCCAGTTGTAGTAAATTAAATGGATTCACACCCCAATTGTCTTGGCATCAGATTAGTATCTAGTCCCTGTTGATAGCTTTTTTATTTTTCGATGATAGATGATTTAATCTCAACTGTTATTTCTGTCAACAGGCAGTTATTTAGCGGTCCAGTGTAAAGACGATTTTTTTTTTTTTTTAATAAGTGAAAATATGTGGTTAACCTTTATTTACAGAACCTACAAATTAGTATCCAATCACTATTTTTTTTAAATTTACAATTACTGTATAAATGGGACAAAGTATAAAAACAATTTTATTTGTCTCAAGCTGACTAGAAGTCTTTCCCCAATCACTACACAGAGTCGCCGACCCTAAAATTGTGACGATTTCGTTCGATGTCTCTCCCTATAGGAATGGAATAAAGTCGTTGTTAACACTGAAAATAACCCATCAGAAAAAAACTTCTGGTTCTCTCTTTGAAAACTTGATGTCTGATATGTTAGAGCGTTCGTGTTTGGGTGATCATTTTTTAAGTTATCGAAATATTCTTATTAAAAAAGAATCAATTCCTTGCTATCAATCAACGTTATCTGTCACGAATTATTAAAATAATTATCTCAGGTGTGGATATTATGATTTTCCATCAAAATAGAACAACATGAGTCATTTCTAGACACACACACAAAATAAAATAGGCCTAGGCCTAAATAAGGACTCTAATCCCTAAGCTCGCTGATATTCACCTACTTTTTTAATAAATCAAATTATATACCAACGGAGGCAGCTATTTTAGTTGTTCCGCCATGCAGTTAAAGCGTGAAGGGGATAGTTTCCTCCGAAACGCGTTTAAATCCGCGGGAATTGAAAGCGTTCCGGATTAAACCAAGAGAAGTGTGTCAGGAATTAACCGATTGGATTGGGACCTTTCACGGTATTTTGTAATTTTGATACTTTCAGTCTTGATTTATTGGATTTAGGTGCGACTTCTGATTGACCTTAGTTCCTGCCCTTGCCGTAAAGGTCAGGAATGATGATTGTTATCGTTCCAGTATAGAGTAATAGAAAAAGATAATGATAATAATAATTGGGTCTTATTAAGTGTTGATACTGTTCTACCTGCGAATCCTGCCATTATTATTACCCTAGCAATTGCCAGGTACCCATTTGAATCTGGGTTGAAAGTCGAAAATGTGGATCAATGTCTTGCCAAACTGAGGAAATAAGTGCCGGGCTGGGATTCGAACCCTCACTGAATCTTTGATTGAGTGTCAATCGAAAGAACCACTATACCAACACAACCAATGATTATAAAACATTGATTAAAACATTTAATTCAAGGTTTGTTTTCCATCTGGTCATAGGCCAATATATCTTGATTTTGAAATAGGCATCTATTGAACTATCATAATCGAATAAAAGTGTGTTGCTGAACTATTTTGATCGGAATGGTTTGGAAATTAAGAAAAACGAGTTACACAGGTTCAATTCTATAGTATATTTTATATGCAATATAGAACTAATTTCTAATTAAAAGTAAGCTTTCTCTGACAATGAAAATTAGATGGATCAGTCATAAATTCTACATATTTGAACTGGTGCTGCAGCCCAAAGAATTTCAATCTGTGACCTATATTCCGGCAACCGTCACCTTCTTCCCTTTTTCTTCTTCAAA